CGCATGCGAAATCATTTATTGGGTGAAAATTATTGATTAATCGGAGAAAACAGCGGACAAAATGCCCCATAAATCTCTCCTCAATATCGAAAGTGTGAAAGTGAATGTAGTAGAACACGTGTCAACATCTAAGTAGATTTGGGTCAACGTCTTACAAGCTTTTTTCAACCGTAGATTTTCCAAATCTATCTTCTTTCACACTCTGCCACCGACACAAGCCCTAGCCTGTCTTAAGAGATCCTTTGCATGTGGCTGTGTGAGAGTGTGTTATAAAAGGCATTCAAGTGTGAAGGGAATATGATTAAATCACGAAGTTCATTCGTCCAGATGATTAGATGATTAGAAATTACTCGGTTGGAATGACATATTTTTTTCATTTAAATAAAAATTAATTTGATATCATCTTGGACGCAAATATTCTTAAAATCAAAGCTAGCAATTACTCATAGCATCTTGAAAGCCACATGAACAATTGATTAATATTGGATATCCTGATGAGACATCATAAAAAAAGTTATTCTTTATATTTGACTGTCATGGTCATGCATCTAATTTACATTTGGAGATTGAATCTATGTTTAGATAAAACGTATGAAACATCTTTATTAATACTATATATGTATACTGATACAGTACAAGTTAGCAGCCAAATGGTTAGTCAAAGAAAGCCAAATGTTTCCTTAATCTATAAGTCAATGCGAAACTGCAAACGACGCGTTGGAAGAGAACCAAACCCATTGGGATTTAATTTGGTCAGCACTTGGAATTTTGGTGGTAAAAAATGGATGTATTTTCCATCAAGACATATGTTTCACTCTGCCAACGACAACTAAATTGAAGTTAGGCTAGGAGATTTGAAATTTTCATATTCCTCATAAATGATATTTCCTAGGTTTGGTATTATTCATGCTTAAGATTAACTTTTCTATTATTATTATTTTTATCTTTTGGCATAAACAATTTACACACAAGATTTGTACCCAGTAATTTACTCAATAATACATTTGGTTTCTAATACCAATAATTCCAACAATGATATTTAAATATTCAGAAACAATATCTAAGATTGAGTAGTTTAACGGTTAGAGAACATGCAAAATATGTATTTATTTTGGTTCAAATCCAAATGTGGAAGATGAATTCATCCGAAATTTTTTTGTCAGACTAAAGACCTGATAAACATTCGAGTTATAAAAAAAAAAATTCAAAAGCAACCAAAAATGCACATGTTCTTATATTTTGGCTAATAGCAAAATATCACATTTTCCATTAATATTTTTGTCATAAAGAGCCTAAAAATACTCAATAGAAAATCTTTATGGGTTGGAAATGAAAAAAAAGTGCACTTATACAAAAATTCATTTAACTCTATCATAGGAAAAAAAAGCAAAACAAGAGTATATTGAAAACAAAAGATGTTTCTAAGGAATACTGTCTAAGGATGCTTCTAAGGAAAACTGTCCAAACTATGATTCACCAAAACCAATAGAAAAATCACAATTAAAATTTTAAAAGGATAGAAATCGAATTAAAATCTCACTTTTTGAGTCCAAAGGGGCATAAGGGTCTTTATGATACAATCAATAATTCGATTCATTTTCAATTAGACCTTTCTCAAGAATTTCATGACCTTCTCCTCCTGACCTATCAAGAGAGTTCAAATGCATTCTCTTCAAAGAAATATAAATAAGATTGTTTAAAAAGAAAGAGTTCTTACATTTGTAAATTTTTATGGTCAATGGTTTAAAATCAATCCATAATTAACAAAAAATACTTGATAAGCAATTTTAGATCTATATGCACAAAGAATCAATATAAGACCCTAAAAGAAGTTACTTTGACAATAGTTAGCTAATGACAAACTTATTCTAGTACCAAAAACTCAACTACTGCACCAAACATTGGTTTGTGTTGTCTCTCGACACTACAAAACAAATAAGCAATGATTCAGTAACATTTCAAAAAAGATAGTCCGCATGAGCAGTTACAGTCTGCTCAAAATTTTGCGTCTAATGTCACATCAGAGGGTAAGATCAATTTATCATAAAACAAAAAATCAGACTCTACACTTTTAACCTTAGCCATTATTAATGTTCTCATTGATAAAGAATCAACAAATTTTGGTGTACTGCTTGTTTTCCTTGGATGAAAAACAAAGTAAAAATACATATTCAGACACACATTCTTCACCACAAACCAAACTCATAACAAAATATTCTTATTGAAAATCTTTTCAAAGTAAAAGATCAACCAATTCTTGATGGCGTTCTTTATCATTTAGTGCAACGAAATCCAAACCATTGCGTAATATATCAACAACAGTATACAATACAAAACATAATGAGTTTTAATAAAACTAAGAAACAAAAATTTGCAAAAAAAAACCATTTAAAAAAGTTTAAATTACAAGTGCTTCAAGGTACTTCTTATGGATATCATCAAAAATTTCCATAGAATATTCTAAGTCTAATAACTGACTTGTGTATTGTTTATACAAGATAATTACTTGAGAAAATATAAAATTTGGAGAAATCAAGATCAAAAAATAAAAAAGAACTTGTGCAGTGTATCATTGAAGTTTGTTTTTGTAAGTAATGAAGAAATAAAAAACACATAATTTTTAAATCAATTTTGTTATTTTTAGAAATTGAACAAAAACCACAATTTTGAGGGAAAAAATTACCTCGATAGCAGTTGGATTTGGACAAACTTATTCCACTACCAAAGACAAAATGGTTGGATCAACCTTTGTCTTGTATTTTTGGACTTTTTTTGTAAGAAAAAGATGGAAGCTGAAGTAAGTATTTTGATTTGACTTGTGTTTATAACCGTTTATATTACAATTTTTTAAGGATAAGAAGATGTGGTTTTTATATTTGTATTTAGCCTTTGTAGCATTATATGTCGGTTATAAATTGGTCTTTAAATACATGTATTGTTGGTGGTAGAAATTTTATTTTAGAGAGTTTTTTGTGTAATCAAGTGTGTGTAATATTTGTGGTGTTTGATATAAGATAATGTTTTTTTTATATATATCTTCATTAGAAAATTACTCTCTTTCCAATTTTTATAAAATGTGATGATTGATACTATTGGATGACCATGAACCATTCTAGGCTGATACTGTCAAACAATGACTCATATGTATCTTCAAACAAGTCTAGGACTTTCTCAAAACCTTGAGCTCCACTATAATACAGGTCAGGAACTTTGTTCTCTGTCATGTTTCTTGCAATAAGAACACATTAGCTTAACCTTTGTATTTGAATGAGTTTCGCGCTAACTTTCCACACATCAAAAGCCCTCAATATGTCCTCTTGGTTTTGCTTGTCCATTGCAAGGATAAAATTAAATTCCACGAAATCAGATGCCTCTATCGGTCTTGATATCGACATTATATCAATCCCATGACGTTTAACAACACTTCTCATCCTTGCATCTGCCAAATTTTTCTCGTGATAATTAATGGTTCTAGCGAAATCAATCTTAAATTTTGAATCAAGCCCTCGTTTTTTAACAATACCTCTAAAGACGCCTTCAGTTGATGGGCTCCGACAAATGTTGCTCAGACAGACGAAGAGGACAAAGAAGGGTTTGTATGAATGTATGTATTTATGTATGTGGTTATAGTGAATGAATAAATAAAAAATTTGTAAGAAAGCGTATGTATTGTTTGAGAATTTTTTTAAAAAAAATAATAATGTTATCTCTCCACAATGCAAAATAAAATAAGTATTGATTCACTCACATTTCAACGAGAATAGCCACATAAAAACAAACATAAATCAACCTTTACATTCTCCATATTTTACGCTGTAATAATTCAACAGAGGGTATCATAAACTTTCTCAAACATAGGATGAGACTCTTATCACATTTTTAACCTTAATTACCACAATTAAGGTTCTGACAGATATGGTATCGCCAAATTCTATGGTATCACCAAATTCTATGAAATATTTGTTTTTATTGGATGAAAAACAAAATAAAACATATCTTTAAATACACATTTTTCACCACAAATAGATCAAGATTGATCAACTTTGAAATACAATTTTTCATTTCATCCCAATCATCAGAAAATATTTTTTCTTCACAAAATTTCGAGTCTAAAAAGATGTTAGATTCTTACTCAAAACCTACGCCCTACAAGAAAACATTTTCATCCCTTCCTAGGAAAAAACAACTTTTTGCTCGATCTATAACATGGAAGTTAATGAACAAGACTATTTTGGTTATGTTTATGGAATTATTATTTGTATATTTTTCAAATTGTAGTTATTTTTCGTTATAGTATAATCTTTATGAATTTGTTATGGTTTTTATTCCTTAGACACAAATAGTAAGATCCCAAAGTGATAACTTGGAGCTCATTTTATAATACACCAATGCTAGTAAAATGCTAAAATCCCAATGCGCCTGTGGGAGGATTGCAAAAGAATTGATATGCATATCTATTTTGGGCTTTAATGTGTGGTAATATTGACGGCCCGTATATATTTTTTTGGATGAAATACGGCCCATATATGATTATTAAGATGTCTATCTTCCGTATAGCATGACCGCATGAGTGGAGTGCTGCTGCTTTCACGTAGAAATGATGAATTGCGTAAATTAAAGAAATCGATTTTCTTTTTTTATTCACGCTGAAATGTGTGAACAAATGTTTGTACGCATTTGCTACTTGTCAAGAAAAGGAGTGATCCACACGGATTATGTGTATTAATCGTTTGATTTAAAATACGAAGCAATGTATAAAAGATTTTCTAAATTTTAATTTTCACCTTGATGTTGGACTATTATTATTATTGTTGTTGTTTTGTGTATTTCGTAATATAAATATATTATCCATAACGTTCTTTCAACCACGATCTCACTCTACCCTTGAATTCAATTCTATCTATTTTTTAGTGTCCCCACAATGCATTTTCCATCTTGGTTGCATGAATAAGATAATAATATTTCTTTTTCTTTTTTTTATAAATAATTGTAGATTTCATTCCCCTACATTTGCCGTATGAAATCCTCAAAACACATGTACATTTCATATTCTCCTAGTGGTAAAAAAACAACAAAGCAAATGGTAATCACGACCAACGTGGACGGGATCCAAACGATTCTGGACGGAACGTACTTCGAAGCTCGTTATATCGATGGACGTCGAAATTACGGGTTTCCATCAAACGTTTCTGTTTCTTCTCGAAGCGACTCTTGTAGAAACCTTCGAAGGAAGGCTCCTTGGAAGTGGTGAGGAAGAAGGCGTAGCCGCCCATGAAATACGTCGAAGTCACGTAGAAGCAGATGGGCTCCATCACGTCCCACGATAGCTCCCAAAACGTCAGCCTAAAGAACCCAATGGTTTGGGCCATCAGAAGCCCCAGTCCGGCCCATAGTTCACGTCGGACCATTTCGTCTGCTCGTTTGTCGATCTCCGATTTCACAGCCTCGAGTTTCTGTAACTCTTCCCGTCTTCTCGTTGCGTCACGAGTGGATTCGTGTGTCGGAATCAGACCTTCCACGGCTCTTGTAATCTGCAACGACAAAATTAATATTGATTTAGCTTTTCTTTTTTTTTTGTATAGACAGTCTTCTAATATATTTTATTTTTTATTTGTGTTCGGGATGTTACCTCTTCGGGCTTTAGGCAAACGAACTTTCCAAGAACGATGACGTTTCCGGACTCGTCGAGCATATTCGCGACCCGAACACCTTGTTCAGGATCCGAATAGGCTTCTCCACAAACCCGAACAAACTCCGAATAGGGAACCCAATTCCTCCCGATTTCTCTCAGCCGCGATTTCACCATCTCCATCCCCGCTGCTCTCATCAGCTTCCTCGCATCTTCCACCGTCACCGCCGGCAAAAATTCCGGCGACTCCTCGGCCTTCGCCGGCGGCAGTATTTCGTCCAATCGGATCCTATCCTTGGACAAATTCATTTCCCTGACGAGAATTACCAATTCCCAGAAAAAAAAAAAAACTAATGCAAAGAATCGAAGAGGAGGAGATGGACGCCGCGTCTCGTAAATGGGTCAAAGTGCCAGGAGCGCTGGGCGCCTTTTATATGCGTGGTTCTGCGAAAGACGAACAAAACGACAAGTTACCTAAAAACAGTATCTTGCCACGATATTTTGAGATGCAGATAGGAATCGCGAGATTTAAGCATAGCATTTGGCATTGGCATGTAATTATTATCCAATCGTCTTTTAAACGTGGTTTATTTATATTTCATTAGCATAGGAAGATAACATCGTCACATCAACACTTACGAAATATGGGTGTCTTCATCGAATCAAAACAAAAGTATTATTGGAAAAATAGAATCCAATTTTATTGAAATTATTACAAAAATTAAATTTATATAGAATTTAAATATTATTGTACCTTTTTTTATTGATTTAATTTTATCGGTTTCTTACCATATTTAGACAGGAATATTATCATATTTAGATAAGTTTATTGGTTACTTTAGATTTAAATGGAGTTTAAATATTATTATATTTTTTTATTTATTTGACTTTATCTGTTTCTTATTTAAAAATTTTATTGGTTATTTAAATTTATTCGATGATTATCGATAACATATTAGAAAATGTAATTTTATCTTCAATCTGTATAAACTTAAACTTTTGATCTTTTTTTAATAAACTTAAACATTAGAAACTAGTGATTCATTGACATTAAAAAACATGAATTTAAAAATACATGAAAATAGATAACCAATTATAATGCAATTAAATAAAATAAAAAATGAAATGAAATGGGTTGTAAAATTTCGCGAAATAATAATTGCACAGTATTATTTGCTCCAAAAAAACTAATGAAAAGCATAATTCGTTTGTTTAAATATGGAATATTTGTATCGTACAACGACATGTAGACAATCTGTGTACCTTTTTTTTAGGCATGCGACACATGCGTAGGCGTAACTGTTGTTTTGTTTGATTCCGTATATGCCATACATAATATGGGTAAAATCACGACCACAATACCTTCAAAATTGAACTATTTGTTTACGTAATTAATTGAAAAATCGGGCCCAAAAATTTTGAAAATTTGAATTTTCGATGGCCCCACAATTATTGGGGTAATTAATTATCGTCAATTTATCTTCATCGGAGATACCGGAAAAGGAGAAATTGAGGGGATATCGCGATGGGTCATGCTAAAGGATGACGACCGAACACGTGTCATGCTAAGCTCCCGACGTCATTAGCGACCGCCACGCACTGCCGTCCGATCTTTTGATCCACACTATCACACCCAACCAATTATTATTATTTTTTATTATTTCTTGTTTATCAATCATTATTATTATTATTTTGCAGCTGCAAAGCTTAAACGCCGCTAATTATGTTAATGCTTTTAATCTATGCTTAAAAACCGTTGTAATCGTATATAATGAGGGGGTTTTCTTTAAAGATTTTCTTATAAATCGTCGTTCTAGATAAGATCAAAGAGTCATCTGTGTATTTAAAAAAGAAAACCCATACCTTTTAAAGAGAGGATTATTTCTAAATATTAAAATATGACCAATATTCGTAAATAAAATCATGGATACAACGCATTTCGCCAGTATCATTGGAAATATTCGTACGCATTCCCCCGTTTTAATGTGTGTACACGAACATATATATATATCACCAATTCGAATAAAAAATACTCGCAGTCCGGATCGATAGATCGATATATAATCGTTTTATTACAAAAAACTTTGTTAGCAATTTTGTTTGTTACTGACAAAATTTGGAAATTACCGTTTAACATATATATATATATATATATATATATATATATATT